GTGAGTGTGTGTGTGTGCATGTGTGTGTGTGTGTTGGGGGGATGTGGCATGAAAGAAATGGGGGTTGGGAGTCTCACTCCTGGTGGAGAAGGGAGAGCATAGAAAGAGAATACCCAGTGGGGAGTGGTGCTTGGGGGCGGCGGGAGAGGACTGCAGGAAGAGGAAGTCAGTTTGTCATAGCAGAACCCTTTTGACACCATCTTTTTTGTTAATGACTAAGCCTGCATGACTGTGCACCATAGCAGCCCTTGGAATGTTGCCAGAATGACGGCCTCTCCCCTTTGCTTTCCAGTCTTGCATTGTTATTTGAGTCGCTGATGAAGATGAGGCTCTGCCCCAAGCGCCCTCCCTCTGCCTGCCCCCTTCAGCTACATCAGTGCTTGCTTAGCAGTGCACTTAGCAGGGCACATCAGTGCTTCCTTACAGGCCTGTGTGTTGTGCCTACAGATCACCAACAAGAGAGAGATGTCAATACCTAGGACAGGGCCAGGCACATAGTAAGTGCTGGTGAAGTATTGGCTGAGTAGTGCTGCAGGGTGACATGTAGAATCTGTCTCTCCCTGAGGACGTGTTTACCAGTCCCCTGGCCTGTGTGTCTGAGCCACAGTGATGAGAGCTCTAAAGGCCTCCAGGCAGGATAAGTCCATCTGGAAGCTCAGGGAAAGTACCTGCCTGGACTGGGATAAATAGTATTCCTCCCGGAATTCATGTGTACCTGGTACCTCAGCATGTCACTTCATTTGGAATTGCCGTTCATGATGATTCTGTCATCAGAGATCTTACTTCTGAGGTCAGGAAGGATAAGGAGCCCTTGACACACCAGGTCTACTGTCTGTAGGAACGTGTGTGCGTTAAAAAGTCCAGTAAGCTGCGTGTATGTAAGAGAAATATCAGGTGGCCCTATATGAATCTTTTATATTTCTAAAACACTTTTTAAAAGCACTACCACATCTGTGATCTTATTTTATTTGCATGCTTTTAAAAAATTATCCGGAGCTCTCTTTGTGTAGATGGGAAAACCGAGGCTCTACTAGGGTCTCCTAGTTTGGTCAGGATTATAAGTCTCCTAAGTGCTATCTAGCCGCCTCCCTGGATGGCATAGATAGTAAGAATGGGGAGAATTTTCAGAACCTAGCCATGGCCCATGCTAAACATGTCTGTGCCTCACCTCTGGGCAGCCTTGGGGACAGTCTGCCTTATAGGCCTGCGTGTTAGGCGGAAGCTTTCACAGGTGTCACTTGATAGCTGTGGGTGCCAAGCAGAGCTGTGCAATGCCCCAGGCCTAGCATTGTGTAAATGAAACGTCCCCATTGGCCCATCTCCATAGCTGGCCTCTGAGTTCCATGTTTACCAAACACTGCTGATGCCTCACCCCAAACACAGCTGAAGTCCAGGAGTGCTTCCTGTGTCCAAAGCCCACTCCCCTCATCCTGCCCTCTGAACTCACCAAGGAGCAGGCGTTGACCAGTCCCCTGGCATCTGTGCGTGAGCCACAGGGATGAGAGCTCTGAAGGCCTCCAGCAGGATGCGTCTACCTGGAAGCTCTGGGAAATTACCTGACTGTAGTGAGCTAAATGGTGTTTCTCCACAAATTCATGTATACCTAGCACCTCAGAATGTGACTTCATTTGGGAGTGGGTTCTTTATGGATATAACTCGTCAGGCATCTTGAGAGAAAATCCTCCTGGATTTGGGGTAGCCTTTAAATCCAATGATTGATGCCCTTATAAGGAGAGTAGAGGACAGGGGGAAGAAGAATCTATGAAAATGGAGGCAGTGATGCTGCCATAAGCCAAGGGATCCTAGGAGCCACCAGCAGCTGGAAGAGGTAAGGAAGGGTTCCTGCCAACACCTTGGTTTCAGACTTCTGGCCTCCAGAACCCAGAGAGAATACATGTCTGTTGTTTTAATTCACTAAGTTTGGTAAGTTGTTATGGCAGCCACAGGACACATACTGGCTGTCTGGCAGAAGGTGGAGCTATGGGGCCAGTTCTGGAGCCAGGCTGCCAGAGGTCCTCTGCTGCCCTCACCTCTCTTTCCATCAGGGCTGGGAGAACACTGTGGAAAGCCAGGCTAAGGTGCAAGGAAGACCAGGGCTTGACTTACCTGTTGTCACTGTAATCTTGGTGGAGACCTCTGTGCCCTCTCACCATTGTTACTACTACCATTTTTTAGTTCCCACAATATGCCAGGCACCGTGCAAGTCTTTACATCATTTCATTCAGTCGTTGTAAGGACACTATTCAGTGAGTTGCTTTATCCCTAGTTTTTCGTTTGAGATTCATTAACTTGCTCAAGCTTCCACAGCTGGCAAGTGGCAGAGCCAGAATTTGAACTTGTCCCAGCTGAGAGCCAGCACACATACCACTATGCCTCTGTGACTTCCCATGACGTATTAATAATCATGGCAGCTAATGGTTGATCTAGCAAGAAAAGAGCCTGTAATCATCCCCAGGGGCTTCCCGCAGCCTCCTTCTTATTCCTACCACTGTTTGCCTGCCTCCTCCCTGTGAACCAGCCATATCACATGATCCCTGTTCCTTGGATGGCCTGTCAGGTTACACATCAGGTGGTCTTTCTCTGGTAGCCGGTCCCTGTCCCTTTCCACCTGACAAACTCTTGCTCAGCCCACGTGGCCCAGTTTAAATGTGTTCTGTGCATTCTATCATTTAGCACTTCATGTGGATCGTAAATCCCACTGGGGTGTGTGTGTGTGTGTCTTTCCCCAGTTGGAGTGGGAGTGCCTTTGACACGAGACTGGGTCTTTCCATTTTGGCATCTTGTATCTTCCCCAGCAACTCTGGCTCTCCAAACCCCCCAATAAATGTTTGAATAAGTGAAACATGCAGAAGACATGAAGATCATTAACTAACAAATACTCGGCAGAAAGGGCTGTTAATTTTTTAAAAAGAAGAAGAAAAAAGAACATCAGATATTCTAAGACAAGTATTTGTAGAGGGAATCACTAAAAGCTTTGAGTTTTGAAAGCAAATATTTAATTTAGGCTCCCCCTTCTGTATGCTTACAAATGACACTAAATTCAGTATAATGCTCAATCTACTTTTTGAGATTTACTATGAGACTCATGGACTTTAAGGAAGAAAAATGTAGTTCATTTTAAATGCCTACTTTTTACATAGTCATTCTTTTAACACAGGCAATTGCAGTGACAAAGGTAATGACTTCCTAGCTAGCCATATTCAAAAGAAATGTCAAACATTTAAATTTATAAAGCTGTCTGTGAAATGTGAAATGTGACGCCCCCATTCAAATGGCCCTCCTGATCTTGCCCGGCACCTTTTCCCTCTTAGCTGCTGAAGGTACCCTCTTGGTACCTTCCTCTCATTACCAAGGACAAGCCACATCTGAGTGTCTGTATCCCATTCCCCACCACTTAGAACTCTTGAATCCTGCAGGGAGGCTGACCGGGAAGGACAGAGGACCCTATATTTGGCTTCGGGATCCTAGATGCCCAGGGCTCAGAGCTCCTATTAGTGCTATTTCACAATTACTACAGGTTTTGGTTTTTGTTTTAACAGTGATGATGACGATGGTGATTTTCGTGTCTTGTCCATGAATCACGCAATGTTATTCCAGGGGGATACATACCCTGATTCCAAAAAACTCACCTAAAGTACAGATTTTGGAACATGACCTACATGTTTACAGTGCCATGTGAGACTATACTTTTTCTCAATCAGGCTCATGGACTTTTTTCCTTTTTCACTTATTTACTGCTTTAGTCCTTAAAACATGGATTCCTTTTTTTTTTTTTTTTTTTCTCTTTTAGCCAATACAGGGTCTAACTCTGTGACCCAAGCTGGAGTGCAGTGGCACATTTATAGCTCACTATAACCTCTAACTCCTGGTCTCAAGTGATCCTCCTTGGCCTCTCAAGTAGCTAGGACTACAGAAACACGCCACCATCCCTGGCTAATTTTTTTGTTGTTGTTGTTTTGTAGAGATGAGGTACCACTATGTCTCCCAGACTGGTCTCCAACTCTTGGACTCAAGTGATTCTCCTACCTCAGCCTCTCTAAGTGCTGGGACTACAGGTGCCTGGCCATAAACATGTATTCTTTAAAAGCTTGCCCTATTTCTAAACATGGTTTGTATGTGCAGTAGTGCACTCCTCATTTTTTGCTGACTCCGACGGGAATGTAGGACTCAACTGCTGGAATTCTAGCTACAGAAGACTTTCCAGGAGGCCTGTGTCTTATGTGTCAACCAAGACGTGTATTGTTTCTCAGGTTGCCTACTCCAAAAGGAGACAGTTTGCCCATGTGGGATGTCCTGCCCCAAGCATTTCTAACTGCTCTTCCATCTCTGCTCTCCCTCTGCAGGCTGGCCGTGGGTGACCCTCTCTGTCCTGGGATTCCTGTACTGCTACTCCCATGTGGGCATGGCCTGGGCCCAGACCTACGCCATGGACTAATGCTATTGGGCTCAGGCCAGTCTTTGCTGCTGGCCTCCAAGGCAGGTGGTGTTTCACCCTGACCTCTCACTCCAGGACAGTCTCTAAGCGATTTGATCTTCTCATCTTCTGTTGAATATCCTCACTCCAAGACTGGAAGCTGGATCTCTCATAGAAAATTCACAGCCAGACAGTCTACTAATTTAGAGTCTCTGAGATCTACTCCAACCCATTATTTTCCTATTGAGTAAGCTGGGGTCCAGGGCAGTAGTGTATCTCGTCCAGCTATACATGGTGACATTTTGGTCTAGAACCTAGTCTTATGAGCCCTTTGGATTCTTTCTCCTTAACCAAGAATAGAATATAGTGGACATTTCTTGACTGAGACACAGACATCCTGATTAGTGATAGCCTGTCTTCTGGTCAATATTTATAAAATATTTGAGTGACATTGATGTTTGAGTGACCTCCTTCATCACATCCTTCAGGGTCTCCAGAAGCAGCACTAGGGTTTGAGCTTCATGCTTCAGCCCCTTTGTAGGAAGGAGACCAAGCCCCAGCTGTCTTTTGAATTACCTAGTCCAAGAAGACGGTAACAGCCCTGTAGAATTCTAAGGCACCCATACCCAAGGAGTCCTGTGATCTGAGCCTCAGCGGGATGATCTACATTTGGGTGCTTGTTTCTAAGAGTCACAGAGAAGTATAATATGGTAGTTCCTCTACACGACAGCAAATAGTTTCTTAATAAAGAAGCAGAATTTAGAAACCACAGGATAGTATGTCCACAGATGGGTGCTATCAGGCTAGTTACTAGGATGGCGTCCTGGGGTCTTATCTACTCTCTCCACACAAGTCCCAAAAGTCATCCTCCTACTCAATGATTCAGGTTTAGTGGTTTATATTGTTTGGGTTTGATTCAAACGAAGCCTTTTCTGTCATGTTAAATAATCTACATGTTTGTAGAATTATTTTGAATATGTTTGAAGAAAATGTTTAAAATCTAAATAAACTCACATACCTGGATTATTCACTTCTCTAAAAAGATGCTGGTTAGGCTACCAAAGGCCCCAAGTGGTAGATAATTCAGAATACTTCTGTTTGAATTTGGATTTTATTTTTGGAGGGGGGAGGGGTAAAGGAAACTTAAAATTAGAATCTATAATATATCTAATTACAGGAGAACTTACAACATCTCAAGTACGTGAATGAAGCTGTCATTGAGTGAAAGGTTCACTCGGACCTAGTGCTGCCTCCTGTTTGTTACATGGCATGGCCCTTAGGTCTTGGCTGTGGTTATCAACTCACTGAGGCTTAAACTCCTGGAGTACAGGACCATTTTGCTGACTGTCTTTCTTCATAGCTTCTCTGCTTGGCAAAGAGATGAGAGGGGGCCAGATACTGACTACCTGGGGTGGTCACATTAGGTGTTAACTAAAGCAAAAGACAGAGGCCAGAGAGGGGCAGGTAGACCTGCACAGCAGCAGCCTCAGCAGCTGGCTTGGTAAATGAGAAAGAGACAGACAGACAGAGGGACAGAGAGACAGAGAGACAGACAGAGGGACAGACAGAGGGACAGAGAGACAGACGGGGACAGAGAGACAGACATGAGGCCAGTGATTGCAGGGTGCTCAGAAGTTTTAAGGAAGGAATGGGGGAGGAGTGAGCACCTAAATGAATACAGTAAACCTTCATGGACTAACACTGATTCATGATTTGTGGCCAGCCAGAAGGAGTTTGGCTGTAGTTTACTTGGAAAGAAAGGGCTTGCTAAGAAAAAAAGGAGTATAAAAATGATGATAAGGAAGTGTCTAATGTATGTGTACATATAAATGATACAAAAGTTTTGAGCTCTTCCAGATATACCATTTAGATAAAAACAAATAGGCTTCTAAATTCATTAAACTATTTTGGAAGAGTGGGCGGATATATTTGAAAGTAGTAATCCTGAATTTCTTTTAAACTATTACATGATTCATAATGGTTCTCAGGAATTAATAAATGATTACTGTGTTTAGCTCTGTATTTCAGGCTGATTAATTAATATGTGGATTATACAGGACCATTGTTGTGCTAAACCTCTTCCTACTCCCCAGCTGTAATATGAAAATGATAATGCTTCTCTCCTCATGTATATTAACTAAAATCTTGTAGTTGCTCTGAATGAAAGACGTTGTGGTGCCTGGGCACACCGAAGAGTTCAGCCAGGGACACTGGACATGTCATCAGCCCTGGGCAACTTCAGGCACAGTGTTGGGAGGTTCCAAGGTCAGTTCTAGCCCCAGGATCCTCTGATCCCAACTAGCTCTGTGGGCAAGCCTGAGAGCTCCAAGCACAATCGCCAAGACGCTACCCAAGGAGGGAAACAGGATACCTGAAGGACATCCAAACTTCAGTCATGCTAATTCTTGGGACCACACAGGAAGACTGAAAGGTATTATTTTTTCAGATTAATTGGTAGAGGTGTCAGCAGAAAACATGTTGTCCTGTTAAAGAAATGAGGCCTCAAGAAAAAATAAATCAGAAATAATCTATATATTGGGAGAATAGCAATTTAGGGGGGGGAGGCTTCCCCTTACAGAAATTGAGACTGCTCACTTGCTTATTTAAAATAGTATAACCATTGACTAAACATAGTAAATTAACCATAATATAATGAGTTTGGTTTTTAGCAGCTGTATCAGAATATATCCATACAATAGGGTTCAGTGTGGACAACATGAGAAGCCAAATTATTGTGATACTCTTGACCTTCTCAGTGCATTTTGAGAAAGCCTCTCTGAGGCCTTTCTGAGGGAAACTGTTTTATTTTAAAACAAAAAAAAATACTTCTTTTTAAAATCATTGTACTCCATTTGGCACCCAAAACATAGCATTCATTACTTAGCTCTATATTACTGGTCCTTTTGACTAATTACAAAAATCATATTCACAGAGATGTTTTGCAGCATTGAGGAGATCTAGATAGAATGCTTTAGGCTGGATGTGGTGGCTCACACTTGTAATCCCAGCATTTTGGGAGGGAGGCTGAGGTAGGTAGATCACTTGAGGTCAGGAGTTTGAGACCAGCCTAGGCAACAGAGTAAGACACTGTCTCAAAAAAAGAAAGAAAGAAAAGAAAAAGAAAAGAAGTAAACATAGCTTTAACATTTTATTAGTGATGCTTTTGAAACAAACATCAATAACTTGGAATTTTAAACAATATCACCCTTAAGTTATTTTTATAATGCTTTTATGCAGTGTGATTAAATCATGGGTAAGGAAACATTAAAAATACTGTACACATACTATGATCCTGTAAGGTCAAGCAGAGGCTTGTAGGTCAGATTCTTCATCCCCTGATTAAGTTACACTGTCTATAATAAGAGAAGCACCATGTTTGAAATGTCGCCCACTGGATGGTAAATAAGAACTGGGGTTGGCAGTACTGTGGAGCCTTGCCATGAGCAGGAAGCAATACCTATTAATATAATGGCAAAACTGAAACCATGCCTGTGTAAGGGACTATTTCGATGAGGGACAAACTACCTTAATAGCTTCTGAGACTATCAACGAAGTGTAAAGAAGCACAGATCAGAGCTCATGTTGTAGACACTGAGTCATTAAAAAAGATTGTTTGTCATACTATGTTTTAAAAGGTAGGGACACATTAATATATTTTATACAAATGTCAATCTAAATTGTTCAGAATTAAAAAGTATACTTCCAAGTGGGAGGTCAGCTTCGGGTATCTCAGATCGATGTGTCATAGTTTTCCATGATACCAGGCACTAAAGTCAGTATCTGTGCCCTTTACAGCAGATGCAGAGCTTTAAGACTACTTTAAGACTGTACAGCCGCATCCCTTCATGTGCATTCTCTCACTATTGGGTACTCTGATACATAATCTCGGTGAATCTGAGACTTGAAGTTCTCAAAACACTGAGTGCTGTCCAAATAAGAGCTTCCCAAACTCCTGAATAGAAAATACCATCCTCGTTCTGGCCTCTTAAGTCCGAACAGCCAATTCAGTGACTTAAAATTAATGTAAGGCGAAAGCAAGTATCATGTATAAAATAGTTTATTACCATAATAAATAAAACCTTTTTTTTTTTTTTTTTTTTTTACAAATATCATTTGTGCTTGTTTAAAAACGTTGAGAAGGGAATATCATCAATGGAGGGGCCTGCACGTTTCTCTTAACGTTCCCAAGCCACAGATATACAGTGGTGTTCTTGGCAGCATTCTCAGCTGACCACAAAAATAGTATCAGCTTATTAACACTTTTGTTTATTCATGCTCATTTGGACAAAGTGACAGATGCAAAGGAAAAAGAAAACCCCAATAAAGGATTTGGCAGGACTCAATCGAGAGAGTTTTAATATAAGGAGAAGCCCCAGAATGACGAACTGCTCATGAGTAGAAGCATCCTTGAGGTGTCGGCGAAATGCTGGATGTGGGCAGTCTCCAACTGATGCACAAACACAGCATCAGAATATTAAGAGAATACATTCATTAGGGGAGGGTGCATCCTTCTTAACGTAAGACCAGTTTATATCCTGATACAAAATCTGTGAACTTCTCATTGAACAACTGATGGGTCCGTCGGATGATTCGGAAGTCACAGATAGAGAGACGATGGCTGGAAGAAAAGTGTAATGGCAGGCAGGGAGACACCCACCGGTCTGGCACCTGCAGGGTATTCAAGTCCAGCTCTAGAGGTTCCCGAGTAAGTCTGATATGCTCTCATGAGAATGAAGTTTCACTTGAAATGAATTTAAGCTGCAGATAAATTCACATTGATTCTTTTGAGCTGTGGGGGTGGAAATTAAAACTTCTCAACATAAACACCTTTGGTGAGAAAATGGTTTTTTCTCTGATGTTTGCAGTCAGTGCTGAGAGGATCGTGAACTCTCCTCCAGGTGGAGGGCACGGGAGCTGGTGAAGGTAATTTTCATTGAAGCGAGAGAAGGCAGTATATAGAGCAATAACAATGATTTAGCAACAGAGGGGGGCTGTCTGGGGCCTCAAGTGTGCCCTCAGTGGCCTCCTCTTTAAGCAACAGTAGGTGCTAAGGGAGGAGAGAGGAAGGGGCGTTGGCAGCTCTATCACAGCTGGAGTTCCATTCAAGGGTCTTAAGGCTAAATGTCTTTATTGCAAGACATAGTACAATCTATTAATCAAATGCACATCAGCAATGTGTAGCTCCACCAGGGCTCTTAAATTTCCCAGAGTATGCATGTGAGACATAGTGGTCAGTGCAATAAGGGGAAATGGGGATCTTCCTCCACCTAGTATTCCTGAAGAATTCACTTAGTCCTGAGGGCCTGGACAAAGGGCTTGACAGTTGGCATAATACCTCTACCGTCCATCTAAGGATTTGGAGAGGAAGCTTGCTGGATGGGATGAGGTGGTATAGTACATTTTTACCTCTGCCCAGCTCTCCACACTTTTGAAAGAGGAGGATGCCAGGAAAGGGGCTGATGTTTGGCCAACAGCATTACGCTGGATTGAGGCTGAGGGTAAAGCAGGCCCCCGGAACTGGATCACAAGAAGAAATCAAGTAAGAAATGAATCTCCAAAAGTTTGCTGGAAGGCTGCTAAAGGGGCTCAGCTTTTTAAACACTTGGGCCATCCTGTAGCATTAATGTTGTAACCTTATCGGCATAATGTAGCATTGCATTAATTAATACAATTAGTTGCATTAATTGTACACTAGACAATTTAGTTTCTTAACTAAATGGTCCCCTTTGTCTCTGTCCTTTGGCTATCTTGTCATGTCCAGTGGAGGAGCCCTTTGTAAGTATATGGGATAGCAGCGCCCACTGCTGGAGTCACTGCCCCCCTCCAAGAACAAACACACCATCTTGCTGACCCTCTTCATTCTTAGAGTCAACCCTCACCCACCCTTCCATCAGCCAGGGAGAGAATGTTCAACCAGCAGCCAAGTGACAGGGACAGGACCTCCCTACTTCAAAGCAGCATGTCAGGATATTCTCTGGGAAATGGAGCTTCAGTATGAATGACATTCAAAGAAAATAATTTCATAGAGATTAAAAACCAGCACTTACTGGACAATGGTGCCACATACGATGCCCCCTCTCCTCAAAAAGGAAAAGCAGATCCTGGGCAAATCTGTTCTTTCTTGGCATACTTTTTCTGAAGTCTAAATGTTCTGTCCCATACCTACTAACTTTTTGTTTCCCTAATCTCTCTTCAGCCACCAGATAATGGTTCATACTGGAAGGGTCAGGTCAGTGGTGTCTGAAGCACATGGTCCTGGCTCAGGAACCCAGAGTGGCATCCTGGCATGGGAAGGCAGTCAGCACAAAGCAGCCAAGTGCATGACCCAGAAAGGAAGGGAGAAAGGTTTGGCTCATTTACACAATGTTTTTTCAGAGAAAACAATTACAGCAAAAAAATCCCTCAAATCCTAGGGAGGATTAGAGAAGAATGAAGCCCATGCACCCACATGTGCACCTGTGACCCCAAGATTAGCAGATTCCTGCCGCAGGAGCCAGCTGCTAGTCATAAGCCCAGTTTGCATCGATTTAGGAGTGCATTTCTGAAGCTATGCTTCCCCCCAAAACATGTCTGGACCTCAAAGCCTTACAGCATCTTTGTCCCTCATACCCAGAGGTCTGAGAGATTTCGTGGACATCCATCTGCCTTGGGCAGAGCTGGAGGGAAGTGACAGGGCCTCTTGACATCGGGCTGTGGGGTTCTGGACAAGGAGCCTCTCATCAAGTCCCTAGAGAGCTTGGAGGCAATAAGTCTCCAGGGGCAGGTGCTTCTGAAGCTGGGTTTTGGGGTGATTAGAGGCCTGCCCTGACTTAAACGTGGTGGGTTCTAAACTTCAGAAGCAAGTTGAGGAACATCCTCAAGCAATGGCAAACTAGAATGTTCAGTGGCAGGATTCCAGATATTTTACGGCCTCTTACCCAAGGACTGGGCCGCAGCTTCTCAAGTGAAAGAGGCTGAAGGCGTCACAGCTTTATCTGGAGTCACCAACACTTGTGACTCAGCCTTGGGAAATTAGACTTCCTCTTCTCTGCATGCTGCCATCTGAGGCCAAATCAAACTATGTCACGGCCTGGAGAAGTCAGGGGCAGCCCCTGGAAGCTTTGTGTGAGAAGCTACAGGTGAGGTTAGGGGACATGGAGCAGGACTCCCCCCTGAGCTCCCAGGCCCTGGCTTCCCAGAGCCAACCCTGCCTTGCACAATTGAGGGCCAAGCCCTGGGACTCAACATGAGCACTGGCAGGACTAAGGAGGTGTGGTGGGCAGGCTCAGACCAGAGGCTCTCAGAAACACTGAGTATCTTTGGTAGGGCATAGGTGCCAGGGATGAGGTCACCTTCTAACACAGGCAAAGGTAAGCTCCTTTGGTGAGTCCATGTTGTCACCTGCACTCCTAATTCCACTCCCTCCAAGCTGACTTTCAGAGCTGAACTTCTAACCTTGCTTGTCAATATTTGGGGTCCTGGTACCTCTTTCTAGGACACATGCCCAGGCCAGTTTCACTGTGCCTGGAAGAGGCTGTTCCCCTTTCCTTTCTCAGATGCCACTGAGAGAAGCCTAAGCACAGCAATAACCTGACTCTGGTGACTACGAGGCAGTGGAGTGTCCTGGAGCATCGTGGCCTAGGGACTCGGATGGCCCATACGCAGCTCTGTGACTATCACTGTGAGCTCAGACCTTCCCTGTGGCTCACAGCTCCAAGGCCACGTCTCTCCATCACCTTACAGAGGTAGCTGGAAACTCACTGCTTTGTTCCCTTTCCAGCTCCTGGAAAAGAGTACAACCATGATCCTACAATCATTGTCCATTTTCTCTTCAAATCCGACTGATGTTAGTAGGAGAGAGAGAGGCTGGCTTTAAAATAAGGCCCAGCATGGCTCCCAAGCGCCTATAATGACCCCATGCAGTGAACAAAATACAAAGGTCTGAAGGGCAATCCCAATGAGAATCAAAGTATAAACATAGCACTTGCTACAGTTCTGAGGTTGTGTGTGTCTGTGTCTGCTTTGCTAATAAAGCAACTCTGGGCTCATGACCCTTCCTGCCGATGCTCCATACCCTGAGGAATGCCACAGGAACACTTGGGAAGGGGCCGAGAAGGAACAGAAGCAAGGGAGCCTGTGTGTGAGGCCAGCGGCATGCAGCAGGGCCAGAGGCTCAGCTGGGGACTCTGGAGCCCTCCCTGCCCACTGTCCTAGAGGAGCAGGCTATGGGCCGCACCACAGAGAACCCCTGGATCCTAAGGGCCCCTCTCCAGCTCTCACCCTTGCCTCACCTCCCTGGGGAAAGGAGACCTGAGGATTCCCGGCTCCAAGAGTCTATAGAAGGCATGCGCCACCCCTGCAGCTGCTTTTCTGGCCTTAATCATGAGACAAAGTTTCCAGGCTCTACCCTCCTGTCCCTCAAGCTCCCCTTGTCCCGAGCTAGTGACAAATGACAACTACAGGAAAACACGGTGATGTCAGACATGGGCCGTGCAAGGACGGGAATGCCAGGAAGTCCCTGGCCCACCGCAGACCGTGGTGGGACAGGGGGCAGGCTTGGCAAAGCAGCCCAGCATGGTATATACATGAGAGGTTCTCCGCACTTTCCACCAGTCCCTAGGTGGCTGCTGCTCCGTTTTGGTAGTTTTAAACTTTTACAAATATGGTAATAAAAAATTAAAAATGAAGGAAAATACCCTTTAGACAGCATGTCCGTTCTTCCAAAATTGTGCAAAGACGGTTCAGATGCAGCTGCCACCTTGCAGGGTAGGGCACACTACCCTTCCTGTATCTTTTTCCAGATAGAGAAAGAGCGCGTGCGTCTGCACCACTGGCCCCACGTTTTCTGTCAGGAAAAGCCGACTTGAAAAGTGTTGGTCACGTGGACATGTGTGGTCAGGGTGGTGGTGACGGCAGGGTTGGAGGTGTTTGACTTTTTTTTTTTTTTTNAAAAAAAAAAAAAAAAAGCCAGGGGTGGTGGCATATGTCTATAGTCTCAGCTGTTTGTGAGACTGAGGCAGGAGGATTGTTTGACCCTAGAAATTCAAGTCCAGCCTGGGAAACACAGTGAGACCTCCTTTCAAAAATAAATAAATAAATAAACAATAATAAATAAATAAATCCACCTTTCATAAGTGTAATGAGAAATATCAAAGGTTATTTTTCTTTCTTTTTTCAGACAGCATCTTACTCTGTCACCCAGGCTGGTGTGCATTGTCATGATCACAGCTCACTGTAGCCTCAACTTTCCAGGCTCAAGAATCCTCCCACCTCAGCCTCCTGAATAGCTGGGACTACAGGCACATGTCACCACACCCGGCTAATTTTTTCTATTTTTTGTTGAGTCAGGGTCTCACTATGTTGCCTAGCCTAGGCTGGAACCCCTGGGCTCAAGTGATCCTCCCACCTCGGCCTCCCAAAGTGCTGAGATTGCAGGAGAAAGCCACCACGCCTGGCTCAGAGTATTGAATTTATTGCCAGTGGAATGCTTGAGAATGGCAGAATTGGAAACTTTGCTTTCACCTGGGAAGAAATTGGACAGTGGCAAGGACTCTCTACTTGGGTTTAGGGTCAGCTGTAGCTCAATTTAACATCCATTTATGTGCACTTGGTCCTTTCTTTTTAACATTCTGACAGTTATTCTCTTTCATTTCTGTTTCTTCTTTTTTCCTCCCCGCCTTGTTCATTTTCTTTTTTCTTTTTTTTTTTTTTTTTTTTTTTTTTTTTTAGACCTCTCAGCTGGCTCCAAAAATGTCTCTCTCTGATTCTGGGGACTGTGGCCGCGATATTTCAAACAGCTCCTGAGGCGACTGGGAGGATCTTCTGGAGGTTAATATCCTGAGTATCTCAGAGAGCTGCTTCTCAATATTGGTCATTTTGGCGTTCAGGGCCTTGATGTCCTCCTTCAGCTCATGCTTCACCTCCAGGACCGTGGCCTGCAGTGTCTGCTCAGGGATGGGGTAGAAGGAATGCTTGACCTCCGCCAGGATGGGACTCCGATCCTGGGGGCTCCTGGCCTCACCCACGTTGTCCAGGCGCAAGTCGCTCTTGGTGATGCCACTGTCACACGAGTCTGTCTTCTTCAGCGTGGCCTCACCCGACGCTTTTGTCCTCTCGGGAAGCGTCTCCATCGACTCAGCCTTGGACACCTTGTTCCAGTCCTCGCCCTTCCCGCAAGCATCTTTGAAGCGGGCCCAGCCTTTGCGTTTGGCACAGTCGCCCCCACCTCCCTTGGGGCCCAGGCACTCGGACCCCGGTGCATGCAGCTTTGCGTGGTCTGGCACCCCGGAGGTGGAGGCTGCCTGGAAGGACACGGGCGTGGCAGGACTCTCACGCACGGTGACCACGCTGGCCTTCACAAGGCTGTGGTTGGCGGAGGCATGCTCTGTGAGGACATTGCCCTTCTCCACATCCAGGTCATCCAGGTCCCGGCCCCCTCTCTCAGCCGCCAGCCTGGCCTCTTTCTGCTGTCGGAACCTCTGGAAGAGGCGCCGGACAGGGTGGTCTGGGGGCAGGATCAGGGGGGCCTCATTCTTCCGTTTCATGCGCTCTTCCTCTTCACGCTTCACATCGCTGATCTTCCGGAACACAATCTGCAGAGAGAGAGAGAATGACATGCCATGTTAGCCACCTGCTAGCTGCGGCCCAACTCAGCCCTTTTGCCTATCATGGCCCTCTCCTTCCAGCCTACCTGCCACCAAGAGGCTGGGGCGCACAGCCTGCAAGTCCTCATGAGGCTTTTCTCATGACTGACATCACCCTCCTTTTCTTGACAGTGGCTTCCAGCTTTCCAACAGCCGGGAATTGACTCCCCTGATACTCCCTTCAAGAGGAAAAAAATCCTATAATTTTCCCTCCTCACATGCCAGGAGGCTGAAGAATCCAAATATTCTCTTCCCAGGAGACTGTCCCCAGCCTCTGCGCCTGGACTCCCTTCAATCTGTCCTTGTGTGCAATTCAGAATCTTCTCATGAGCCCTTAAAATATCATTTCTCTGGCTCCACTTCAGACGAAGTCCATTAGTATCTCTGCACAAAAGTTTGAGCACGTCTGGTCTAAACCACACTTCAGGGCAAGAAAGTTTAGCTGAGTCCCCAGGCAAGGCTATAGCTAAGACTTCCAATGCCACCCACAGATCTGGACCCTAAGTGAATGTGGCTGGCTGTGAAAGGTGAAAGCTGTTTTCACAAGAAGTCTTCCTTGTCTTCGGGGAGCTTACGGTAGACTAACATCTATAAAGTTGAACATGAACTTGTCCTAACAACAATACTCAACACGCGGACAGTGCTTTGCAGGTCCTAAGGCACTTTCATGTTACTTCATGTATTCCTTTTGATGGAACTATAAGGTCACTGGAACACCTGTGATTGTCCCCATTTCAGCGACAAGGAAACCAAAGCTCAGAGTGGCTAAATATCACACAACAGGTAAGTTGCATAGAAGGGACTTGTATCCAAGCTACAAAACCCCAGATCCATTAGGTGGCCACCAAGTAATGACAATACGTCATGCAGAGGGATGGATCGTCAGCAAAACAGACTCATGAGTCTGGCTCTGCGTGTAGCATAAGCCACAGCTTGTGGGGCCTCCCCCTAGGTCACCATCTGACTATGGGAGAGCCCCATGATTTCTAGCTTATATTGCACATGGCAATTAGACTGGGCCATGTTTTGACCCATATCGTGTTTGCATTTGTGAGAGGCAGGCTGTAATAGGTTGTCATCTTAGTGTAAATTTCTGGTTTGAGGACTAGAGGTATTGAGGTTGCATAGACGTCGAAGAGAGGCCCGTGGTAAGGTAGAACAGCAGCATTTCCATCTTCCCAATCAGGAAAACTTTGTGCCCTGGACAGGCAACTGAGACCAGCCCAGAACCTGTCCCCGGGACTTGCCACATGACCCCTGGCCTTGGGGAGGCACACAAGGTGGCATGCCAGGAGCATGGACTTGGGGGTCAGAATTAAGTTTAAGTCCCAGCCCCACTACTTAACCATGTAACCTCACGCAGGTACTTAACTTCCGAGTCTCAGCTTCCTCCTCAGAAAGTGAGGAAAATCTCTACTTTTCAGACTTGGTGTAAAGCTGATACAAGCTGATTTATGTGAAGGCACTAGCCCACTGGAGATGCTTAAATGACTCCTGTTGTCCTTGCTCTTTCAAGGCCTCCCGTTGAAGATGATGCGAAATTCACCCTAACTCCTCCAAGAGGCCCTGCCCTGCATTCTCACCAGTAGATTCTCAGGTATGACCAAGAAGAAGATTGTTTTATAGTGCCCAGCACAGAGGAGCCAGATAAACTGTTAACTGCTTGATGCTAGGACTCCGTCAGCAAATCACTGGCAGACTAGAGGCCCACGTCTGTGCTCTAACTTCGTAGTCAAAGTTCCTTTCCCTGGATGACTATATACGGAGGTCACTAACAGGTGAATGGAGGGTTAAATCTTCCAGCTATTACCTGGGTTCATAATATGTGGCTTTCTGACCTCCAATGGGCAGCATTTCTCCCATTCCTGCCTCCTCTGGTCCCCTCCTTAGCCATACCCTACTGCCCCTAATAGTCTGGTTTGCAGATCCAAGAAATGAGACTTGGGAGAATCCTGTCCACCCTGAAAAGAGCCAGAGAAACCCAACTAAAGGCATCATGGGGGTATGAGGAAGTGATCAGTAGAGTGATCGGGACCCTTTTCACTCTGTGCTCTGAGTTGGATGCCCCTGTACACACTGTGATCTGTTCTGGGAATGGCCTCTGCATTCCATTAAGCATTCAAATCCTCTTCCCACCAGACCCAGCACAAATGCACCTCCTTCGGAAAGTCTTCCTTGATTCCAGAGTGCTCTAAGTTATCCTCCCACCTCCAATGGCCCTTTCTATGGTCAGACTGTTCTTCTGTCCCAATTATTCTCTGTCTTGTATCCATTTGTAGTAGAGAGGCTAGCTTCCTTCTCCCTACTCATGTGCCTTCTTAGAGAGGGGAGGAGAGAAGGGAATAGGAAGGAAGGTATACAAAAAAGAGAAAGGAGGAAATGGGTGAGAATGTGAATGTACCAAAGAGAGATGATGGCTTTTAGAGTTCATTGCTCTTTTCCTGCCCTTTATTTCTGCAGGAAATCTGATTCCTAACACTATTGGGTTTCTATTCCTTGTAAGCAACAATTCCTGAAGACGAACATAACTTATCCGCTCTAAAAGGTCCCTGAGGGCTTAGAACAGTACTTTGCAGGTCACACTGTATTTTTTACTTTCTAAATTTTTCTTATCTGCCCTAAAAGAGTAATGATTTTTTGTTTTGTTCCCAATTTCCAGCTCTTCTAAGTACCTAGTACCTAGCAGGCCCTCAATAAATATTTGTGGAATGAAGAACACATAAATATTGGCTAATGAATCCGTGGGAGAATATCTTCTTCCTGGAAAGATGAAATCACAGAGGTCATAGTCAATGTTATAAAAAGCAGGATTTGGCCTTGACACACATCTCTCTTAACATCAAAGGTCAGGGGCAGCCTTTGAGACTTGAAATGAGATGTTCTAAGACTAATGAAAATGAAGTTCTTCAGATATTAAGGAATCAACGCGAAACTGATCCCAAGAGGCTGTAGAGCAGAGTATACCAGTAGGTTTACAAAGGCTTAACATAATTCATGGTGGATATTTGGGAGGGGAAGTGTGAGTTCCTGTTTGAGGGTGTGGCTACACTGTGCTTGTCACCCAGACGCTCCAGGGGTCCGAATCCTGGACTGACCCAAGTGGCATGTTCAGGTGTTGTGGCTGCGTGGGCAGCTCAGGCACTTACAGGCAGGGCCTTTGGTGGAACCCGGGTCTCTGGATCTGTGCAGACTTTTTTTTTCCAAAGTGTCATCCTAAGCTGTCCTCTATCATCCTGTGTGCTAGAGGCAACCCACCTGAACATCGCTGTCTCAACTAATGGACAGGTGAGCCAGGGAAGAGCTTCATACCCTACAGAAATGCTTGGTTCTTCCTTTGAGAATCAGGGGGGTAAAACCAGCAACCCCAGGGGACAAGGCAAAAGGAATTCTTATAGAACTGATGTGGTCTGACAGCTTTGCTCATCTGGGGTCAAGGGCTCTGCTTACTAACTTCAGCTGCTTTTCAGGAGAAGTTAGTCATGGAGTCTGTCTCAGAGGCAGCCATGACCATGCATTTTGCCAAGTATGTTAGATCTGAGTCAGCAGGAGTGGTTGTATGAGTCATGACAATGAGATCTGTGCCACCAGCCACAGCAGCCCTCTGCTTTGAGATGCTCCACAGCTCCCCATGGCAAGAGTGTATCCTGAGAATGAAGGGCATGACTCCCAAATCCATAACCCAGAAGGCTCACTGTGCTGGACAGGCAGTGGATGGAGACCTGGGGAACAAGTCTGTGCAGCTTTTCCAGAGTATTTCCTGGGGCTTTAATAGGTACTATGAGGGGGGAAAAGGTCCCAAGTTAGGTAACTTTGAGTCACACTGCAATATTAAATGGGCTGCTTTACTGCAGGACTTCTCAGAGCCTTAACATGCTAATATGCCTTATGAATGTCTAAGAGGAAGACATTACATGCAGCATTTCTTAAGCCAGTTCCCTCAGATCCTCTCTTTTGAATGAAAGAACCCCCTCTGGAAAACACTATATCAATGTGAAGGGTATGGGTTGCCCTCTGTATTTGTGTATGGCCCAGACAGCTGAGCAGGTGTTTCCTGTTCCAGCTCAAGGTGACCTCCTGTCTCTAATTCTCTTGCTGAGCCCCTGGAGTTTGAGAGTTGAGGTCTCCATTGCAGATGCATTACCCCCGGTGGACAGGCCAGGATCAATCCAAACTCTGTGGCTATAGCCACTGCCCTGTTTGTGAAGCCAAAAGAAGGGATGTATACTGCCCTCCCCCCAAAAGTCAGCTTCTGATGTTTGTGGTTTAATGGGGAGAAAGAAAAAGGTCACAGGAGTCTATATGCACCACACACAGGCTCCTGAAGGATGGTGTGGAAATAAGACCCTAAAGGACTTCCATTTCCACTCATCCTCATTTCAGACTGACCTCATACTGATTCATCATCTCTGCCTGGCTGATTTTATTTTTTGAACTCTTACGTGAGCTCAGAGGGCTGACATTTAAAAGTACCCCTGAGATGAACATTTTTGCAATGAGGACAGCTGCTCATTGGCTCTTGCCTTCCTTCTTTCTTCACATCAGAGATCCTTAGTCAGAGATCACAGCAACAGAGGGGTGCTGGGGTCTGTCTGGGAGGTGGTTTCACTGGAAAAGGCCCAGCCCTGATGATAGGAAACTACTCTTTTCCTGGCATGGTGAAGGCACTGGTAACGGGATAAGTCCAGATCCTTCCTGGATCCAGCCAGAGTCCGGCCAGCCCAAAGGGGCATTTATTTTCTCTAGCCTGACATGTTGCTCAGAATGCTGAGCAGCTTATGACTTATTGCAACATAGAGACAGAGGACGCCTAGAGGGCAGGGATGCTGCTGTGCCTTGCTCATCTAACTTGGCATCCCTCTGAGGTTGCACCAAGCAACAGCCCTTGAGCCTGGGAAGACTTACGTGGTTGTTGAGCTGAACAGAATTGACACACAGATCCTTAAGCTACAGGGATTTCTGGGTATTTATTTTCAACTTGGTTTGAAAAACCAATAACCCTGAAATCTGAGGTGTCAGGATGGTAGACCACCTCTTCTGGGTTACATTAAAAGAGGGCCCATCTCCTCTCAAGCCTAACCTATTCTTAACCTCTAGCCAGGACTAGGCCAAGGTGAGGAGGAGTCCCCTCAGGGTCCTGGCAGCATGCATGGGGGAAAGGCAGGCTTAGAAGGGGAATGGACTTCTGGAGTCCTTACAGCAAAAGAATGTGGGGAGGGAACCCAAGTGGGAGCACAGTTACTTAAAAGAACTCAGATTGTGGAATAAAAATACATATGTAATGTCAATCCTCAGTGGTTTGCATAAATGAGCAGGGACTGAGTTATGAGTCATTGAAAACTATGGATATATCAAAAGGGATTTAGATGATTTTCTCTTGGATTCAGACATATGTCTCCAATCTGAATGCTCTGCAGTAGAAAGAGCACGGGCTTGAAGTGGTCCTAGCTCTGCCACTGACTAGCCACTGTGTGACCTTGGGAAAGTTATATCCCCTTCCTTGGCTGTACCAGATCAATGGTTCTGCAACCTGGCTGCACTTCAGAACCACTTGAAGAGTTATCTAGTGAGAGAGAATTTCCCGTGGCAGGGTTAGAAACTGGCATTTGCAGCAAACTCCCAGGTGATTCTGACATGGGCAGCCTGACCCAGGCCTGCTGACCAGGCTCTCAGGACCCCTGGGTAGATGGTTGGTGAGGTCTCTGCTGCTTTGCTGTCCCCTGTGCATGGACTTTTGCTTACACATGAGTGTGGCCACACATGCCAGACTCGGCCCTCCTTGGTGCTGCCTGGGATTGGAGTGGGGGATGTCCCTGATGAGCCTCTCACTTAGCCTCTCGTCCCTGAAGGATGACTGAGAGAAAATAGGCAGGCCCTGAAATCACCTTCAACTCTTTCTTTCTGAGATATGACAAAAAACTGTCTAGAGTCGGGGGACACAAAGCCAAGCAAACATTTATTGAGCACTCACTGTCTGCAGGCACTCAGCAGGGCACACACACTGCAGCTCCTTGCTAGTAGGAGCCAGGCCTCTTCTCCCAGGGGTGGGGTCCAAGCTGGTGCTGAGTCACGCCGCCTTGCGTGACTGGGCATCAGAAGGGCCCTAACATCCCCACTAGGCCATTTTGACATAGCTTTCCTCACCCACCAGCCTCCTCCACCAGTAACCCTGCCTAGTTTTATGGCAGAGCATAAAACATGAAGATTAGCAAACTAGGCCATTTAAGAAACTTAAAACATGGAAAAACAAACTGCAGATGGGCAGACAGGAAAAGGCACTTGATTGGGTTTTACTTTTAGTAAAGGCCACTTCTCAACCCCTCAGATCACTTCTGTTGTTATGGCATCAAATGCTACATTTTTTCCTTAGTATCATGAGGAATATGTGACAGCCCAGAATATGGGAGGCCCTGAGCCTCAAAAAGGGAAGGGGACCCCAGAGGGACCCAGGCCAGTTCAGCTAAGGCTGTGTGCCGCCCTGGCCTGAGGCTGGAGAGAAGGAAGCACAACGCTGTCTCCAGGGATGCCAGGCTCGGGAAATAGAGCAGTAAACTCACAGCTTAAGCACAAATTGCCAAGTGGACCCAGTGTGGGAGGGCGAGGGCAGGAGCCCGTGGAGTCAGCATGGGGTGACGGCACGTGCACAAGCTTTGGCAGTCAGGCAGACTTGGATCGTATTCCCTGAACCTCAGTTTTATCACAGAATACAACTGATTTCATAGACTGTTATGAGGATTAAGTTGGATAATGTAAGTAGGGCCTTAAGGAGAGTGCCTGACATTTAATAGTTGCTCAGTAAATGTATTATATATTACTCTGTGGGGGCGACCCTTGAGATGATTCTAGAAGGATGAGCTAGAATTAGGTACAAAAGGTAAAGGGAGTTGGGCGAGGGTGTTCCAAACAGGGAGCAGCCCACGCCATGACACAAAAGCAGAAACGCCAGCCAGGGAAGAACAGTGTCTTTGTGGTGGCAGTCCTGGTGGGAGGAGTGGAGGCTGAGCGAGAGCTCTGATGTGCCAGGCACTGTGTTAAAGGTTGGACCTGTGCCATCCTTACAGAAATCCCAGCAGGTGGGTACACAGTTACCCTCATTTCTCAAATGATGAAACTGAGTTTGGAAAAAGTGACTAACCAGGAGGACAAAGCGGTGGAGTTGTGAGCCAAACCCAGGCACCCAGGTCCCCACCCACACCATGTCTGAAGTCCTTCTTCTAGGGAAAATGCCTTGGGTTTTAGGATGAAGGACAGTTTCTCTCAGTATATGTTGGTGACCTCCACTAGTGTTTCTCAGTCTTTGTCGGCTGGCAACTTCTCTAAAGAATTCAGGGGCAACACTAGGAAGTAGCGTATCTGGCCAAGGGAAGGCAAAAGGCCAAGAAGCCAAGATTCCCAGAGCATTTGAAGATGGAATGCTCTAGATGCATTAGGCTGTGTGGTCCTTTAACTTGTCAGGATGGACCAATGACTTAGGGTGAAACCCAGACTCTGATTGATTAATGTGAAAAAGAGGGGCTAGCAGCACACGAGCCCAACTGTTTGGCTTATTGGAAAGTCCTGCCTCCCTGGAGGAGGCTGAGGTTACCCTGTTGGCCGCTCGTGACCTCTAGCCACAGCCCTAGGGAGGAGGAGTAGGAATGCACAGATGTCCCAGTGGCCTTTACCCAGGAAAACCCTAGAGGCTAGAGCTGTTCTGTTCTCAGGGGACCTGGTCCACGGGCTGTCAGTCCACTGCTAACAGGCAGGCCCCTCCCACCACCATGCAGCTTCTGCATTTCTTCTGACATTAATCAAGAATGGCTTGTCTGACCCATCATCAGTGACATCCCATGAAGACTGGCATCATCTTATTGACTCTTAAAGGCCCTCCCAGACTGGTAGGCATGGGCAGTAGGTGGATTGGACATACCTTCTTTTGACAGACAAACTTTGGGCCTGAAAGACTCCCACAGACTCTCCTGTTCTTCTGTCTTCAGGAAGGTTCAAACTCAAGACAGATGAGTGTCCTTTGTTCCCAGTGCCACCCAGTGAATAAGATATGCCCCTGGGTTGCTACTCAGGGAAGAGATGGCATTACTGTGCAGGAGTTTCTGTGCTCTGGCATTTCACTAGGGGCCACATTTGTCACCTTCTCCTTGTTTTGTGCTCCCGAGGTAGAGTTGATTGCATTATGACCCTCAAAAGACATATCCACCCAGAACCTCAGAAGGTGGCCTTATTTGGAATAAGGTTCTGTGCAGATGTAAGTAAGGTGAGGATCTCAGCATGAGATCGTCCTGCATTAGAGTGGGCTCCAGACCAGTGATGAATGTTGTTACAAGAGCCAGGGGAGAAGGCAGAACAAAAAGCAGGGCCGCGGGGAGATGGAGGTAGATACTGGAGTTCTGTAGGATTGCTGACAGCACCCAGAAGCTCAGACAGGCCTGGAATGGACCCAACACCAAATCCCCAGAAGGAACCAATGCAGTAGACAACTTTATTGCAGACTTCTGGCCTCCAGAACTGTGAGAAGCAATTTCTGTTTTAAGCCACCAAGGCTGTGGTCGTTTGTATGGCAGCCCTCAAACCAGAACACAAGGTCTGCTTCACCACTTCCTCCTCCCTCCCTCCCCTCAGGGAGGCCCTGTCCACAGCCCTGCCCTGTGCTCTCAGGCCTCCACCAGCTGTTCTCCCTTCTATGTCGGTATTCACCCTCATGCAGCTAAGGCCAGCACAGACACTGACAGGACGATGGATGCAAGTACCCACACCCACAGGGTGCTGGTTTCAGACCGGAGGAAATGAGTTGATCTTTCAAAGCCTTAGTTGTCTTCTGTACAAAATTCCTACTACTACTACTTGTAGAGTTGCAATGAAATAACATTTGGGAGAAGCCCCCCTTCCTTCATATTTATAAACCAAATGCTGCTTTTCCTTCTGGTCCCAGCTCCAAGCCTGAATATTCCCACTAGTAGTTCTTCAGCATGGGTGAAGTAGCCAGTCAGGCCTGTAGGAATCAGAACCCCACTCGGGTGAGTGGGAGGAGCAACTGATGAGAGAGGCGCCAGGTAGAAGACTGTGACTATCATTAGTGACAGATATGGAGGGGATGGCCCAGGGAAGCAGAGGGGGAGGCATATAAAACACAGGCATATAAAACATCTAGAAACAGGGTCAGCTTCTAGACGTATACACCAGTTCCTGATGCAAGAGAAACAAAGATGATCCACAAACGCTGAACCTCAGCCTGTGTCCTCACCAGTACCAGGTCCCTGAGGGGCGTTTGCAGCCCTGTGGATATTCCTGGGAAACACGTGCTACTAACTCCTATGGGGCTTTGGCTGCTGCTATTGTCCCCCATCCCTGTGCAAACCACAAGCCTTCCCTTGGCCCTTCCAGAGGCAGTTTCAGTAGCCTGCTTACCTGCCTATGTCTCCACTCCCAGAAGGTTCTACTCTGATCCCTCAAAGGAGGACAAGTCTTTCTTACAGACTGAAGCTTTGAACCTCTTCCTGCTTCCATGAAAAGCTCCTTGAAGCATGTGGCCCCACTGGGCAGCCCTCAGGAGTCCTCTCTGTCTTTGCCCCTTCACTCTGACAGTGCATAATGGGGAAGCCTAGAGCCCCTGCCTTCCCCACATCCACAGCACTTGCCAACCAGGAAGGACAGAATCACCTGGGGAACTTTTCTAGCCACCACGCCCCTTGTATCCCTCTTCCCGCTCAACCTCTACCTCTGTTTCAGAGCCAGTGCCCTAAGTGTAGAATGAAGATCATGCCAGTAAAGACACACAGGGGAAATGGGGTAAGATTGCCACATAGGACATATTTCATATTCATGTTTAAAGATCACACACAGGTGTATGCTCAGCAGACAAGGTGCCCCTTCCCAGGGCCAGTGTACCAGCTACACATGTAGCCCCCTTCTACCAGCTACTCCCAGCCCTCTCTCCCTCTATTTTTTTCCCTTAGTGACAGGTATCCTATCCTGAGGCACTGGATCTGAAGCCCAAAACAGCTGAGCAGCGGTGGGAGAGGGCAGTATTCCTATCTATGTTGCCTGAGCCCCCCGTCTGCAGGGCATATGCCCAGTGCCTGTCCCCCAGGTGGGGAAGAAACACTCAGCCAGTGAGGGGTGAGCAGTCCCTAGTCCTAGGCCCCCTGGCGAAAGCCTCTGTGTGGTGATGGATTTCACAGGACTTCACAGCTCTGTACATCCATTCATTGGCCAAAGCTAAATTTTTCACTGAGGTTTTAAGCCTCAGGTCCTTTCTTATGGAGAGATGTCATTCTCTCCAAAACTTCATTCCACAAGGAAACAGCTCTGATCAGCCATTCTAACACTCTCTATGCAGTGCCTACTGAATACAGAGCAATGAATGAAATGTATGAGATGGTTGGTCCACATTTAAAGAAAGCTAAGATTCTTCCTCTCAGAAGCTGATGATCCAACAGCTTTCCCGGCCTGAACTGATCTGGGAAACAGCTGCATTTTACAGAAGGATCAACTGAGAAAGAATGAGAAAGGGAAGGGGGGATGGGGACAGCACCCACACAGTGTTTGCTTCTCCTTGGAGTCTGGACGGTGGTTCAGAGGGTGTCCTAGAGCAATCCAACCTCTCTTTAGAATGCTGAGACTGATTGATGGAGTTGGCACTGCTCTATTCTTAGCCATGGATGGGGTCACCAGGCCATGACGCCACTCTCCTAATGAGAGGGGACAGCAGAGAGTTCCTGAGCAGCTGCCACCGACTGCTCAAGTCCTTTCTCCAGCTTAGTCATGACAGCAGCTCTGGGAGGTGCTCTGTTGAATGTACTTTCATGAGGAACTTTTCCACTAGTGAGAGCATTGCCACCAGTTTACAGATGTGATGGTGACTCAGAATGGTCACTGGTCATTCACCTGAGTTCTTGGTATGTAGTGCTGACATCAGTCCCTTAGGACCTGGACCATTTCTAACGTACCTCTCATTAACACCTAGTGTACTTCCACTGTGTTCAGCATTTAATTTTAGCACCTGAGACTGTCAATATATTCACCTTTTTGTGTGTCTGAATTATCTCCCATTGTCCCTCCCTCCTTAATCATAAGACAAGTTTCCTTGCTAGAATAAACTCTGCCTTGTTCATTTTTGTGGCCGCAAAACCAGAAGGGCGCTTGTCAGACAGCACACATTCAGTGGCTATGCGGGGACTGACAGACTGAGTGACTTGGGCAAGTCAATTAACTTCTCTCTTTGTCTACTATAACTTGGAAATATGCTTTACAAGAGAAGTGTCAAAGGATGAAATGAGACAGTATGCATCCACTCTTTAAGGATTGCCAATTAGCTCCAAGTCTACCCTCCACACTCTACTCTGGTGCTGGGCACTGGCTAATCAGTTTCCCAGACTCCCTTGCCAGCTAGTTTCCTGTTAGGGTCTACCAATGGCAGCTCTGGCAGGAGACTGATAGGCAGAAGGAGAGAAGAGGCTTGCTTTCAGCTCCTGTAGTATGGCTCCAGCAGCAGCGGTCAGCTTTAGCCCCACTCTCCAGCAGCTTCTCCCTGCACAAGCTTCTCCAGCGTCCAACTGTGCACCTGGGCAGTCAGGGCACAGCTCTATAGCTCTCCCCATTCCCTGGGACACCTGTCAAGACAAGCTCCCTTCCCAGAAGCCTGGGGAGTAGCTCCACCTGCCTCTTCCTCAGAAGTCCCAGCACAAGATATGCAACACCCGCTTCTCAGAGGGCTACATGGACCACCCACTCACCAAAGCGGGGACCCCTCCTCCAGCCTCCTAGATTTGGGTAATACTGCCCTTTTGTGTCCACAGCCCTGGTAGAGAATGCTGTTTATTTCCATTATTAATCCCCGGGTGTCCTCAGCATCTCCTTTTTGCTCTTTTAGCCTTTCAACTCCAACTCCATGATTTAAATCCTCTCTTAAAAAATTGTCAAGCCTGTAATCCTAGCACTGTGGGAGGCCGAGGTGGGTGGATCACGAGGTCAAGAGATCGAGACCATCCTGGTCAACATGGTGAAACCCCGTCTCTACTAAAACTACAAAAAATTAGCTGGGCATGGTGGCACGTGCCTGTAATCCCAGCGACTCAGGAGGCTGGGGCAGGAGAATTGCCTGAACCCGGGAGGCGGAGGTTGCAGTGAGCCAAGATTGCGCCATTGCACTCCAGCCTGGGTAGCAAGAGCAAAAAACTCCGTCTCAAAAAAAAAAAAAAAAATTAGTATAGGTTGAGAGATTCAAGATTACTAGACACAACTCCAGCACACAACACCCAGCGAGAGAAACGCAGAAATCCAGAGATCTCCTAGCTCCAACCAAGGTACCAGGTGCATTTCAATGGGTCTGGTCCAATGGTGAGCAAAGCTCGCTCAGGGCAGACCAAGATGGGGAGGGGTGCTGCCTCACCCAGAAAGTGCATCTGACCGGCAAGTTGGAGGCTCCCGCTCTGGCGCTCCAGTCCAGATACAGCACTTCCCCTAAAGCCTCAGCAATACACAGAACAGGTGATCTCTGCCAGTCAAGCACCAAGAATTACAAGCGCGGAGCTGAATTAAGAGCCTGCAGACTGAGCTATGGCCCTCTCCTCCAGTCTGGAGAGAGAGAAAGCTGTAAGCAGGAGCAGTTGGGCGGGCCCCTACCCCAGGACCTGAGAAAGAGGAAGATGAAAGGGGGAGACAGCCGGGTACAGCTGGGCGGTTCCCTACCCTCCCCCACACACCCCAAAGGGCTGAAGCTCTGACTCTAGTGGGTTGCGCAACCAGTGCCACTGTCTGAGATGAACCCTGAATGATCCAGCCCAGTGGAGAAAGGGCACAACCCACCACTAGAGGGGTGGGACTGGGCTACATGTTTTAACAAAAAACATAGGAAGCCTACCTAGCAACAGATGGCGTTCTTGACAACACAGCAGCGCCTACAGGTCAGCTGAAGAAGTGGGCCTAATCTCCCAGTATAAACAAAAAAGACACAGGAAGCTTCCCTAGTAACCTTAAGGAGTCCCTAGAAACCCAGTACC